GGCACATTTATGTTTGTTTAACACTCCCAACGCTCACCTGTGGTTTATACAGCATCTATGCTAAGTGGATCTTAGTTACAGCTTTGGGAAGAGAGAGTGCATTATCTAGTGTGATCAACAGCCTCAACAAGACCAGGATGCTCAAACCCTCGGTCACGATAACTTATGACTTTGTACTAGGTCAACCATCAATGGCTCTCATATAGATCTGTCTACATAACTTCAGTCTCAAGGCTTGGATCAACCCATTATATAGTTTTCAGGCACTTTCCAAAGTTGCCACAAGCTAGGATCATTTCCCTTCAGACTGACCACATCAAGAAGTTACTGTTCTGAGAAATCAACCATAGTGAGATTAAAATCTGGGTTGCATAGTCGGAAAGTGTATATTCTAACCACTCAGCTTACTTGCATACTCGAAAGCAGTAATTAAGAAATTACCTCCCTTCCCTAACATCTTTGAAGACCAGGTCATCATCAAGAGTCTTAGAGGAGAAAAAAGATTAAAATGGTAGGAAGAAAAAAATTATATGCAGAATATAATGTTGGTTGGTCATCACCAATCTATAATTAGTAACCCAATTCAGTCAGTAATCTGGCATTAATTACTGTGAAAGCAATTTCATATTTCTCCAATTGCCACACAGATTTCCCTCTACTGTTTGATGACTCTAGCCACAACATGAGCTGTTTTTATGTAATTTCAAATACTTGGAAAAGCATTTCTACTTGTTTTCTGTGCATTTTCATTATCACTTGCTGCCTTTCAAACCCAGTCATAAATCCAGTGAATGTAGGAAATGCTTCTTGTGTGTGAAGTGTAAAAACACCATACATTTTCCATAGAAGTGATTTTCATTTTTTTTTTACTTTATTAACCAATATGTAAAAGGTATTCTAAAGTTTGGATCAATAGGTTAACTGTTGAATTAAGTGTATTTAAACATAAGTGTATTTAAACATAAGTGTATTTAAGCATAAGTGTATTTAAACATAAGTGTATTTAAACATAAGTGTATTTAAGCATAAGTGTATTTAAGCATAAGTGTATTTAAACATGAGTGTATTTAAATATAAGTGTATTTAAATATAAGTGTATTTAAACGTAAGTGTATTTAAGCATAAGTGTATTTAAACATAAGTGTATTTAAACGTAAGTGTATTTAAGCATAAGTGTATTTAAATATAAGTGTATTTAAACATAAGTGTATTTTAGTATCAGTTCAGTTATGTGCCATGCGTGATACATGCCTAGGCAATCATCTATCTTTTGATACATGACTGACAAGGCAGATATATTTATCTGCAGTAGGGTGCCATTTCTTTCTGCAGTAGACCAGTTGCCATCAAAAGGCTATAAAACTCGGTCTGTCTTGCTATTTATCCATAGCTTGGGGGAGAAAAAGAGGATTCATACCTTTCCCAATGGTATCAGCACGTAAGTGAATGTAATGGATTTGACTAGAATTCGAACTCAGCTCTCTGATTTCTCAATCCAAGATGCTATCCATTTCTCCACCAAGCCTCCTTTTAACACGGGTGTATTTTAACATAAGTGCATTTTAACATAAGGGTATTTAGATATAGGTGTATTTTAACCTATGAAAATTGATTAGCTATGCTTGCCTAACTATTATGGAGATTGTTACTGCTAACCATCCCAGGGATTGAACTCTTCATCCTAGGTTAGCAAATATTGTTGAACTACCCTGTCCCACCTCTAACTTTAAAATGAGCCCACCATTTTTCATAAAAGCTTCTAATAATAAGTTTAGAAATATGAAAAATTAATTTGTTTCTGGATTCTTTGCTGAGTAATTTCAGAGCTTAAACAATTCTGGTAAGAGACTGTAGTTAACACGATGGATGCAATGCATGGTGCCAAATCCATTTAGAAATATCTAAACTGTCAGATGTATGCAATCATTTTCTCAGATCAACAATTAAAAATGGTTTTGAGTGAATAGAGCCTGTTAGTCTTTGTGAAGACCATCCTTGTGGATTAGTGCTACGGAATCAGAAAGAACTGTACCAAATAACAAAAACCACATCACTTGAAGACTGTCAACAGAAGTAACAACTAAAATGGATAGCACATGTAACTTAAAGAGAAAATAATGACATAATCAAAATGTAAACATTCCACAGCAAGTCAAAGGAAGAAAACCACCATCCATACTGGAATTCATTATCTATCTATCTATCTATCTATCTATCTATCTATCTATCTGCATATCTATTTCTATCTATCAGCCTGTTCATTATCTATCTATCATTTCCTTTCTTTCTTCTTTTCTATCTATCTATCTATCTATCTATCATTTCCTTTTTTTCTTCTTTTCTATCTATCTATCTATCTATCTATCTATCTATCTATCTATCTATCTATCAGCCCATTCATTATCTATCTATACATCTGAGCTTCTACTTATCTATTTCTGTCTATCAGCCTGTTCATTATCTATCTATCTATCTATCTATCTATCTATCTATCTATCTATCTATCTATCATTTCCTTTCTTTCTTCTTTTTTATCTATCTATCTATCTATCTATCTATCTATCTATCTATCTATCTATCTATCATTTCCTTTCTTCTTTTCTATCTATCTATCTATGTATCTATCTATCTATCTGTCATGGGTTCTTACCTAAAACTACAGAATGAATTCTTCTTAACACTATGTATACTACGCCTCTCAAGAGAGAGGGACGAATCGAGTCGAGCTGATAGTAGTTCACTCCAAACCAGACTAACAGTCATACTAACACGTTCCACAACTTGTATTATTATTTTGTGTAATATATCTTCATTATTTCTACTCTTGTGTTCGTGTTGTTTACCCTTGGTCCTAACCTGGACCATAACACTATCTATCTATCTATCTATCTATCTATCTATCTATCTATCTATCTGAACCTCTGCATATCTATTTCTGTCTATCAGCCTGTTCATTATCTATCTAACTGCAAATGAACACTGTATGTCTTAGGAAGGACTGCACTTCTTTGAACCTATTGAACTGGCACTAGGGAATCACAAAGAACTCTACCAAATAACAGAAACTACATCAAAGACCTTCAACAGAAGTAACTACTAAAATAGATAGCAAATGTAACTCAAACAGAAAATAATGGTATAATTAAAATGTTAGCATTACACACTATTTCAAATAACATGTTATGAATGAAATCCCCATCAATACTGGTAATAGTGATAAGAATTGTTTTAATAGAAAGATTTTATAAATTTCAACCTACTGTATGCTTTGTCAATGAATACTGAATGTTTCCTTATAAAGAAATGGCTAATATTAACATTACCATTTAGTAATCTTAGTCCAATGATTTCAGATTAGTGGTGTTCAAGCTGTATATGTTCCCTTAATGTGTCAAGATTAAAAGCCAGAGAAGTATTTATTTAATTCCTAGTATGCTTCGAACAATTAGACTTAGCAGAGCTCATTCTATTCCAAGTGAAACCATAGCCAATGTTCTCCAACTTAAGCCTTACTTTGGTCAGTGACATATGACCATTCATTTGTGTTATGGTCCGGTTCCTTGTACCACGGTGATGGTCCAAGGTAGAACCAAATAAGAAGAACTCGAACACGGATATGGAATAACACAGATATATTACAAACAGGAATATATACAGAGAAGTAGAAAGTGTTAGTACGAACAATCAGGTTTAGTAGGGAGAACAATGTAGTCTCGACCAGTATCACTATTCCAATGTCTTGTAGTAATTGTCTGAACGCGACTCTGTTTCGGACTGCCTCTGACTCGACTGACTGACTCGCTCTGACTGATTGACATCATGTGGCACAAGGCCGGTTTAATGTGAGATCTCCAAGCCCGTGGGCTTGGCCAAAAATATGCCCTTTAAACCTGTATAAATGGGTTAAGGGTCGGTTTACCTCCCCAAAAGAGACTCCGCCCTTCGGCGAACCTCGTTCGGGTTCCTCCCTGCCCAAAGGCAGAGAGTTCAACCGATCAGCCGGTCATCCGACTTCAGACTGAACTCCCTGCTTCCTCTTGAAGTGCAGTATTTATTACGTATGGAATAGTTCATTATGTTATTATGGGTAAGGTCCCATAACAATTTGATTAGGGGAACCTTCTACCCTAACCACTGACTTCAGACTAAGAAGCCTTCTGCCAAGTGATGCATGTAATCCCTGTACTGGCTATATAGATATGGAACCCGCTCTATCCCATCATCCTTTTGGGTATACTCAAGGAAGTCAAATGGACTCACCTTGGAATTACTTCCAGGAAAGTGACTACAACTCAAATCCAATCATACAAGCAAAATCCTCACTTGTACTAATGAAGAAATAAAGTGTTTTTTCATATTAAATCTTGTTGTTTGGTCTCTTTAGTATTGTTATTTCAATCATTATAACGTAGACAGCCATTGACTTTAAAGGTTTTATTCACCCTTTGTCAAGTTTTGGTTCGAATCTTGTTGGGTGTCTAGTCACCTTCCCCAACTTAAAAACCTGGTTCAGGGAACCGGTTAAGTCACTGACAGCCCAACCATGTAAAAGACTTTACTGAGTTACTTGGTACCAGTGGCACATGTAGATTTAGCCTATACCTTTTGGATCTAGTCATAAATAAAAAAAATTATATTCCACTTTGCATAATTGATGTGGGGTTTGGAAAGACACAACACTTAACTCAACTTAGTAATGATAGTAGTATTCAATACCCAACAAGACAAGCCACTGCAATAGTATTCCTCTTCCTTGTAGACAATTATGGAGTGGATAAGTCCATTCATGATTGTAGTAAGGACAATAACTGGCTATTACCACAACAATAATAATAAAAAAAAAAATTTTGATAAAAGAAATTATTATATGCCGTCTATCTGCTATCCATGCTCGGATGTTCTGCTATAAGATCCAAGTAAGCAAATTATAGATCTTCCTATTACTTTCACTTTCACTTTTCTTCTATGTATATAGGTGCTTGTGGAACTTTTCTCTGGCCACTTGCTATCCAGTCAACTTTGATCTTCAAAAATTTAAATGAAATGTCTTTTGTCTTGTTAATTCTTGTTCTTTTATTGTTCTCTCTTCTAAATATTTTTTCATATTCTCTCACATTTAATAACTACTTCTATCTTAGTGGCTTCATTGCCTTGCTTTAGATGAAATGATAAAAAAAAAATCTCTGTGAGTTTCTCGGTTTCTTTTATTTCATTTTTTTTGTGCTAAAATGAATACTGCATTCTAGCTTGGCTCTCAACTAATCAAACTGCAACACAATTCTGCTATCCATGCTCGGATGTTCTGCTATAAGATCCAAGCAAGCAAATTACAGATCTTCCTATTACTTTCACTTTCACTTTCACTTTTCTTCTTTTTTTTTCTCTCTCTTTCTTTCGTTCTGAGTGAAATGGACATAACAATATCATTCCTCTTTCCTTGTACTCATGGCTTCAATTTCTATTAATTGATACCTGATATACATTCTGTCATGGGCAAAGTGAATGATAGCTAATTGGTTGGGCCCTCAGATCTAATTTAACATCTTTATATGATGCTGGCATTTTACAGCCTCACCGAAAATATACATACAAGTAATAAGACTGAATGACAGACACTAACAGATTTACAGCAGCAATAGAAATGGCTAGTTCTCTGAGGAATTGGTCTTCAGACTTAAGGAATCATTGCACTTCATCAACGTTGCATTGTGTTCTTTTATCAAAAATACCAATCCTTGTGAAGTTCAAGAGCATTTTTGAAAAGAATATCCACAAATTGACAATTGCCCTACAAATTTTCTTCATTTGTTTTTAATATGAAAGTAGCAAAAATAATGTATGGTGGGTGAGCACATGTCTCTGGGTGCCAAAATTGAAGTGGTAAGTGTCCCTTCAGGACAGATGGCTCTCCACAATTTCCTGTCCTTTTATAGCTCTTAGTAAATTTTGTCGTTTTCCTATCTCTCATAAAAACCTTTTCTGCCAACAATACAGCCTCACTGAAAACATACATACAAGTAATAAGACTGAATGACAAACACTAACAGATTTGCCCAATAGATAGATAGATAGATAGATAGATAGATAGATAAAATACAAGCTTGTTAGATTGGCGATGTGCTGTTTTCCTCTATCCCTCTTGCCTTCTATGTGTCCTGTGAGTATCAAATTTTCCAAGCCCTCTTTCCTCACTATGTGCCCTAGAAATTTCAGCTATCTCTTTCTGATGTGAAATTTAAGTGTTCTTTCTCCTCCAATTTTCTATAAAACTTTGTTGTTGTTCATATGTTCAGTCCATAGTATTTTCAGCGTCTTTCTGTAGATCAACGTGTTACTGTTGTTTTAAGTCTTTTCTTCATCTGTAATGAGATTGTTCAGAATGAATTAAACTGAATTTTTCAAAAATGATAATCTCTGTTTCAGTGTTAGTCATTCATACATCTTACTTATTATAAAATGCAGATTGGATCGGATTTCCTACATTTTTCAACCGATTTCAACAAAACTTCACAGGAAATGGTGGCTTAACCCCACAAATAAAGTGGAAGATAGATATTTATAAAGGTGGCTTGACCCCACAAATAAAGTGGAAGATAGATATTTATAAACCGTTTAAATGTGTCAATATCTGCTAACTCACTCATGTCTTCTCTCTCCCCCCCTCACTTCCTCACTTCGTTAATTTACATCTGTTTAATACAATTGATTAATGTAAATTTTCTTTTCATTTTTTGTTTGGAAGTAAATTCTGAGGATATGCAGTCCTTTTAAAAGGGCTGTGGTGAAATAATTTATTACATGGAAACTTAAAGGGGTCTGTTTTTATTTAAATTATTTGCTCTGGATTTACATTGAGCTCTCTGGATTTTATCCTCCTTAGGTTTACCCATACAGATTACCTAGTTTTTCATAAATTATATATATATATATATATATATATATATATATATATATATATATATTGTAACATGCAGTGGCATGGTGAAGTAATCGATAGCAGCTTGGATTGAGGTAATCAGGAGAGCCGGGTTTGAATTCCTGCAGAGTTCAATATAATCACTTACATAATAATACTCTTGGGAAAGGTATAAATACATCTTTCCTCCCCTACAGCTATGCTTAAATATCAGGACAGACGGGATCATATAGTCTTGGTTGTAAAATAGTCTAGAAAGGAAGTTCTGAATTCAAACCAGCCAAGAGAGGGTTGGACTTTCAGGCTATCTGGCTCATTAAACACTTCTGCAACAGAGAACATCTGGTGCTCCTATGACCTTAATGGGTTATAGGATTGTGATATATATATATATATATATATATATATATATATATATATATATATATATACACAAAATAGTGCACTGTGAGTGCTGGTGGCAATAAAAGAAGAGGTGTAATAATGTGTATGTGCATGCATTTATGTGTGTGTGCATGTGTCAAATGCTGACATTATTTTTTAAATAATTTTTAAATAAACCTTCAGACCATGGTTGACACATGCCCTTTACCAAAACAATTTGTCAATCAATTATCATTTGTTTTTTATATATATATATATATATATATATATATATTAAAAATGGACAAGGTCCAAACAATTTATTTATTAAAGACATTTTTTTATGTTTAACGTTGTTATTTTATAGATACAAGTATTTAAGCAAATG